ATCAATAAATTATAGTATGTCCCCCACTGCAGGGCAACTCTGCACCAAAATACGTACCAGCCGATCTGCACTTAAGACCCTTTAACCCTTTCGGTCCCAAGAGTGACCAACATCAATTTTCTCCCACCATTGGTTGCACATCATCAAGAGAAAAGTGTATGAGTATTTAGAAATTGATCACCAAAGAATTTCTTTGATCTTTTTTTTTCAAATTTTCTCAACATTCTTTAAGGCGATGTATGGAGACAAGTCTGGAGAATTTTGTACATGGATATCTGGGGCTCAGAGGGTTAGCATCATAATGATGGGTTTACAATAATTCTCGCCTCACCTTGCATCTTTAGCTGACATTGTCCAGTCCAAGCTAACAACATCATATCCAGTCTGAGAAAGTTCCTTGATGGCATAGTGTGCACCCTTAGCAAAAATTGTCTGCAAAAGAAAAATAATATTTTAAAAATAGTTGTTACTCGTTACAGTCTTTGTCTATAATGGCCAAAGGAAAAAATTAACAAAACTTCCAAATTCCTTTTTGTAAAATTCCAAAAAATAAGTATCATGATGACCAAACAAATGCTCTGCCTAACGGCGGTTTCATATCAGTCATATGTAACCCTGTAGGATTTTGTATAGTATAATTTCTGTAAAATAAATTACAAAAAACGAAACCCCTGGACCATCTTTTCATGTACATTTTAATGTTCACTCAATTAGTCTGAAGACTCAACATAATTAAGCTGGCAGCTCACCATTGGGACAGCATCAGATCCTAACTTTTCCTTTACTTTTTCAACAATTTGCCTGAGGTAGGGCAGTGAACAAAGTGTAAAAGTGTCGTAACCTATCACTTCTGCGTGAGACTCAAAGACTTGCAGCATCTAAATGAGACAAATGTTAGTATTATTTATTAGCAGCAAAAAAATCCTGTCTGTGGGTTACAAGGCTTATGCACAGATGTTTTAATCGTAGTTGTCACAGGTCAAATTTGACTTAAGGCTAAAATCTTAACCTAAGTTGCTTCTCAGTTTCCTTTGACACTTACAGGTAGGAGACAAAGAATATTGAGAATCAACCTAGCAGTTAAATCAAAATTTAAAACCTGAAATAAAATTTCACCTGTAACATGGTCAAAACTTCTTGGTCAAGGTTACTTACGGGTAGTGGTCCCTTACAAAAGCTTTTAATTATAAATTTTCATTAAAGCACAGATCGAGCTCAAGACACAGTTCAAACAGGGTAAGGCTGGTCTTAACTATAGCTAGTCACTTAATAATGAGTTGGGGCAGTTGCTAAAGGAGAGTTTCCATATTGTAAGTGTGGTTTTGCGCTGGCTGAGGAACGAAAGAAGTGGAAACATTTTTCTCAAACTCGGCTGGGATTTTGGGTTCGAGTGTGTGGGGGGACTTCAGGTGGCATGTCAGAGTTTATTTGTTTTTGTTGCCTTCCGCCATTACCTGACCTTCCCCTCCCACCCACCCTTCATGTGTTTTTTGGGTTGTAGGATTTCAAGTAGTGCCTTAGTTCCAGTTATTCTTGTATGTTAATCTATTGTATCTAGGCTCAGTTTCAGCTGTTTTGTTAGCTCTCTTTTGGTGCTGTAACACTAATGATTCGTAGTGTTGATAAAATAAAGGTCGGGCTGCATGGTCGGCTCGGCATGGCTCCCAGTTGTGTGGGAGAATTAAACTTTATGTTGTTTTTTTTTTTTGAGGGGGGGATAACAGTGTACACATACTGTACCTTTCACACCTGGGAATAGATGATTCAGATAGTAAATGTAATAAATAATATCATTAAGTCCGTATAATATTTACCTGAGCTCCAGCTCGGACCTGTAGCACCAGATAATCAATAATTAAATCTGTCATCCGCTGCAGAAGTTGACTGGAAACTTCTAAATGCTGATGTAAGAATTTACGAGCTTTGTTGAAAGTCTTGCTACTTTCTCCTTCAATCATGTAGCACAAAAGGGTCCACTTCAAAAAGAAAACACTCAATAATAGTTTAAACAGAAGATTCCTGTTAAATAATAAGAGTCTAAAGAACTTTATACTTGATGGTAATAATGGTTTCGTATCAAACAGGCTCCATTCCCATGCAAGCTGTGAAAAATGTTTGCAAAATAATCCTTATTCTGTCATAAACACCCACCCACCCTCAGGGAAGGGACAAGTAGTTAATGCTTATAGAGGTTTTGTTTAAAGTGAACTTAATTACTGACAATTTTGTCTGCAGGGACTCTGTTAACTGGCAGCTAAATGGAGGGTGGCTGCTTAATACAAAGAGAATTATAGTTTTCAAATGATAATTATTATTTCATTAGCCTCCATTAATTTTGTTTATAGTGAACAAACGGATCACTTTAGGTTTCTGGGAAACTGCCCACCTACCCCTCCCCTAAGCTAACATTAACACTTAATTCTTACTTTGGGCAAAATGATGGGTTAGGGGAGGAGTAGGTGGGCAGTTTACCAGAAACCTACATCAAGGTACATCGAAATTCATTTTTACAGCTTGCCATTCGAGCAAGCTGAATCTAGCATTTACTAGCCCAGAGGTAATTTCAGCTAGCCCCAAAAACTTTTTGACTCGCAAAATTGATTTCACAGTTCTTCTGTTATTCGAATTCCTCAAAAAACATCACTTGCCCGTCGGGCAAGTTAAAGACAGAATTCACTAGCCCGATAGCAAAATCCACTAGCCCCGGGCTATCAGACACTGCTTTCTTTGCACGCTGCTACATTGATCCGAACAAACATCAAAAGTAGAGTGACAAACATGTTTTTAGTAGAAACTTCTATGAACTTTGTTGTAAAGGAATAGGAGAGGATAATAATTTGAAGCACTAAAAGACTGGCCTCATTGAGTGACACTTTTCTTACCGGTGCTCCAGAAAAACCAATCAAGGGAACCTTGCCTTCCAGCTTAACCCTTGTCAGATTTATAGCACGAAACACATATCCCAGTGACTTCTGTAGATCAACTTCCTGTTTAAGTTTCTGTGAAGTAGATAATATTGTGCACAGTAAAGTGAGTGTTCTCCCACCCATGAAGAGCAAATAATTCAGGAAAAGATAATTGTCACCTCAATGTCACTTGGTTCTCTGATTGGATCTGGGAAAACTGGACCCTAAAATAGAGGAGAAAAAATAATATTTTGCATCCAAAAATTATTAATTTCTAATAAAATTATATATAAATAACATAACTTAACCCAGTCATACGGTTTTTATTATTATTTCGTATTCACACATGCATGTCTGTACAGTATACAAGTAACATATTACATTATCTCCTCGGTCATTATCTTACACACAGATGGGGGGTTAGCACTTACTTTTCCAGGGATCATTTCAACTGTCATTCCAAGAGCCTGTTGAATCAAAAACAGAAAAAAGGTAGCAAAGACTCATTAGTACTGATAGGGTAATAGGATTCAGTTTCTCAAACCCCAAATTATTACAACTGTATACCACTATTGCCCCCGCCCTCCTCCGCCCTCCGGTCCCATGTCCAAACTCATTCTTAAGTATGCCAAGTATCAAATTTCTCCTCACAGTATCACTGCCAGATCACATGCACAGGTCAAGAGAATGAGTGCAATGATCAGCGCTGGTGAGATGTCTTGAAATTTGAACTAATTCTCTCAATCAGTACAAGTAAAAAACGTATGGAGAACAGTGAGGAGAATGTGCATGCTGATATTACAGGAGGACCTGAGTACATGTACCCACCTGAGGAATGACAAGGATGTCTGAAAAAATGATAGCAGCATCCAGAGGAAATCTTCTTATAGGCTGCAAAAAATTACCAACATCGAGGTGAGATAATTTGGTATACATCTACCATATTTCCACAAATAAGCATCCACGCTCTAATAAGTGTTAAATACACTCTAAGAACATTATTAATTAATTGAGAAAACACAGTATATACCTGATCCAATGATTCATTGTTGAAATTTACTAATTATGGCTTCAAGTGTTGCATAATCAATGGGCATGGTGAAGTGGATGTATCATAAAAGTCAGATTTCAAAATAATCCAAACTTGTGAAAGGCTTGTTTACCTGTAAAGTAAGTTCACACGCCAACTCTGGAGTTTGAACCATCTTGAAGAAATCAGCATTGTTTTCTTCCTTTAATTTACGGAATTCTGAGAAAAAAATTAACTTATTGGCATATCATTAGGGAAAGTGTTTTTGCTCCCTACCCCCTCTTGAGCTCTCTCCTCCCACCCCATACAAATACGTATAACAGCTTGGGACTTTGTACAGCTATATTCTGCCTCATTCCTGGCATGTCATTCTCTAGCAATTACAGTGGAGTTTATCCAACGTGTCCACAAAACTCTATGATATGTCTGGATGGGTGAATGGGTGCCTTCATCGTGTTACCACAACTGCCAAAACTCAACAGCTTTATTTTCCCTTTAATCTCACTGTAAGAGTACAATACTTGAATGGGAAAATACAAAATAATGAAGTTAAATGAGGTCACTTTTGCCCTTCATTTTGCGCTTGGGTATCCTGTGCAATAAAGTCAGCTGAAATGACCCGGCCGATGAAACAACAACAAAAAAAGTGCTAAGGGAGCTTTAACTAGGATAAAAAGAAATCACAATTTTATCCAGCCTATGACAGGAACTAGACCAGTAACTGGAAATCCTAGTTGCGTGCCGAGCGCAAAATCACGATCTTGACTCAGCAACTTACCTGGGAGATAGCGCCCCGCTTGTCGCATAACCCATACGGGAGCCCGCTCAGTTGTTTCCCCACGGGCTGCTCGCAAAATCAGATCATTTTTCATTGGCGGGAAGCCATTCTGCGTTTCAAAATCAGTCATTGCAGTCTAAATTAAAAATATCGTAGACTTTTTCGTTCCCTTTCTTAGCAAAAGAGCGATGATTAAAAAATTATAGGGGAGCTGGGTACTAATTTTCCGCGCACAGACTTGTGGGTGTTCCTTGGTCGCCGCCATCTTGCCTTGAAGATCCTGAAGATGTTGGGTTCATTTTCCCGTTCCGTTCCTCGTCTTTTTAGACAACCAGGGTCCGCGATCTTACGGAGATGTTTCGCTGCTGAAGCTGCTGTAGGGCGCTTTGGTATGGCTCTAACGTTTGGTTCTCCTACAGAGGTAAGTAGTTAAAAAGTCAGAGTAGTCTTGTGGAAACGTGGTGAGCCAGACGTGTTATATAATGCAGTTTTAAAATAAGCTCGACTGTCTCTTGACAGGGAGATAACTATTTTATAATCTTTGGCTACTAGAAAAATCTACCTGTAGGGTGCATGTTGTCTTTGAACTGGAAAAACTTTAATACAGAAAGTATCTGTTGGGTTATATTAGGTCAAGATGCCCAATATATTTCTGCAGTAGCCTTTCTAGGTATTGAAATTATTATTTTGACGGCCTTGAAATAGTATGGCAGCTGTGATGGATGTGAGTAGAAGGAAATGTGGTTACTGCTTATTTTACAAAAACATATTATTATGTTTGCCACAACATAACATCTTTCATTGCTAATGCTCTGAGTCTCTATTGCTGGTGGTGTTTTGCAAGAGTAAGCTCCCTGAATCAAGAATACAATAATATTTCATACTGTTGATAGAAATCTGTCCAGAATCTTGTCAACTGCAATTGCAGTTGAGAGACAAGAGGTCACAAACTCAGTGGAGAGCACATATTTTCTTTATAATTTTCCATATATTTGCCTGACAAGAAATAAGTTTTACTGTTGCTGGTGTCAATTCATAATAGAACTCGACATTGGTGGTAATTGACCAGGAGAAAGAAAATTTCAAACAAATCTACATATGTTGTCAGCATGGAATTTTCAAGGCTAAATCACAGAGATCTGTCTTGCAAACATGCCAGTGGCAATGTGTGATGATAGTAAGCCATATTCACATTCATATTTTGGAAAACTATGCTCAACAGGCAGAGAAAAACAAATGGTGCCATTTCTACAGTCTATACTCTCACTAGACCATAGCTCTCGACCAATCAGCACATAGGAAATCACAGTTATTGTAAATACAAAATACAGTACCACTCACAAGTAAGTTGACAGTTGACTCAAGACTTGATACTCACATCTTGAAACTCACAGCGACAATCGAGTCTTTAGTCGAGACTATCAGCTTACTTTCGAGTGTTACTACTGTNTAAGTAGTTAAAAAGTCAGAGTAGTCTTGTGGAAACGTGGTGAGCCAGACGTGTTATATAATGCAGTTTTAAAATAAGCTCGACTGTCTCTTGACAGGGAGATAACTATTTTATAACCTTTGGCTACTAGAAAAATCTACCTGTAGGGTGCATGTTGTCTTTGAACTGGAAAAACTTTAATACAGAAAGTATCTGTTGGGTTATATTAGGTCAAGATGCCCAATATATTTCTGCAGTAGCCTTTCTAGGTATTGAAATTATTATTTTGACGGCCTTGAAATAGTATGGCAGCTGTGATGGATGTGAGTAGAAGGAAATGTGGTTACTGCTTATTTTACAAAAACATATTATTATGTTTGCCACAACATAACATCTTTCATTGCTAATGCTCTGAGTCTCTATTGCTGGTGGTGTTTTGCAAGAGTAAGCTCCCTGAATCAAGAATACAATAATATTTCATACTGTTGATAGAAATCTGTCCAGAATCTTGTCAACTGCAATTGCAGTTGAGAGACAAGAGGTCACAAACTCAGTGGAGAGCACATATTTTCTTTATAATTTTCCATATATTTGCCTGACAAGAAATAAGTTTTACTGTTGCTGGTGTCAATTCATAATAGAACTCGACATTGGTGGTAATTGACCAGGAGAAAGAAAATTTCAAACAAATCTACATATGTTGTCAGCATGGAATTTTCAAGGCTAAATCACAGAGATCTGTCTTGCAAACATGCCAGTGGCAATGTGTGATGATAGTAAGCCATATTCACATTCATATTTTGGAAAACTATGCTCAACAGGCAGAGAAAAACAAATGGTGCCATTTCTACAGTCTATACTCTCACTAGACCATAGCTCTCGACCAATCAGCACATAGGAAATCACAGTTATTGTAAATACAAAATACAGTACCACTCACAAGTAAGTTGACAGTTGACTCAAGACTTGATACTCACATCTTGAAACTCACAGCGACAATCGAGTCTTTAGTCGAGACTATCAGCTTACTTTCGAGTGTTACTACTGTCCCTCCACAAGTTCTAGCCAGGCGTTACTGAAAGCGCTGCTTGCTATAACTGTGCTTAAACCAGTCTCCCAAGATGTCGAAAAGGAAAATAAAATAAGAAGTGTATTCTATGCTCTTATTTGAGCTGTTTTTGATTGGAAAACGTAAAACAGAGCAATCAAATTGATATTATATATTTAACTAGTATCGTAATTGATTAGAAAACGACCATCAAATTGCACAGTACATGTAGAAAGTTGGCATGGTTTTTGCATGCTGTTATCCCCATCGAGAACATTCAGAAGGCCTTCAGGTAATTTTCAGAGAGTATTTAGACACTGTCAAGAATGACATTCTTACAATGGAGAGATTAATTTTCTAGATCTCTCCAGATATTTGTACTCTGTGGGTTGGTAGGTATGATGTATTCTCAGACCTGCCCTCAAGGGAAGGAAAGGGAAGGAGCAAACAGCTGCCTAATAATGGCTCCAAGCCAGAAGGTGGCCACTGAATAGGAGACTTTAAAAATACAGACTTCAATGTAACAACAGTCCTGATCAGAACTACACTCACGGGGGTGATTGTATTCCACCTACTTAAATATGAAATGACTCCTACATTCAAACGTTTACCATTTTAGACCTTCTATTCAGAAGTTGATGTGAAGCAAGTTGATGTAACTACTACTACTGGAAGCTTTGGCATTCTACCAAGCCATGTACCCACCCTAGCTACTCTAAAACCAGGGCTTCTCACAGTACATGATGAAGGAGGTGCTACTAAATATTTTGGTCAGTATTACAGGCCACAGTTAGTTCTATCATAATAAATGAAAATGATTATTATTAATTTTATCCCTCAACCCTTCAATATCAGTGTGTTTGTAATCAACCTTTGTCACCTACGATCTTGGACAAAAGTCCGGGAAAGTCATTCAATATTTTCCATTACCATTTATTTTCAGGATGCCTTCTGAACCTTTAAGCCCCAATATCCACATACAAATTCTTCAAACTGATCTCCATACATTTCTACAAAGAATAAGTTGCGAGAATTTGTTTGAAGATCAAAGCATTTTCCCTTAGGTGATCATTGATTGATTGTCATAAACTGTTCTTTCAATTAGGGACGGACCATTAGAAAAGTTATGGGGGGTGGGGAATTTTCAAGCCGCAGGAATTTTTTGTCGTTATCAAATTCCTTGTATGATTTTTTTAAGGCCAGAGCATGAATATTTTCTAGGGTTAATTGGCGTGCATGAATTTTTTTCTCATTTTATTTTCCCTTGTGCGTATATTTTTTTGTACTTGTTATTGTTAGGAGAAACTTGATGTTGGTCACTCTTGGGACTTTAAAGGGAAAGGTTTACGGATAAGCGCATGCTCATTAATTAAATTACTTTTTCCCAATTCATTATTAATTCTATCGGTTAATAATCCCACTCACATGTATCTCAGCAATCTAAGAGTGTATTTCAAAGTAGAAGTGTATTTTAGAGTAACCTGAAGTAGGATGGAGGAGTAATAAAATTGTAGAAAACATTAGTGGATTATGCCAACACTACCAACGTTGAATTTATTGTTGACCCGAAGGTTTTATTCCATGGCTGGTTAATTTACAGCTATTTGCACACAAGTTGATCAAGTGACTGCCAGGGGAGTGTGCAGATTGGTTCTTTGACAACATTATGACATCATATTGCTTGCATACATGATACAGCATGTGCCTGCAGAAAAACAGCATTTTGATAAATGAGCATGCGCTGAACTGTGAACATGTCCCTTTAAAGGGTAAAGAATTGCTATTTTTGTCACAAATGCCTTGCTTTTACCCTTCCCTACCCGATGCAATTTTGAAAGTTTAGTAAAATTGGGGATATATACCAGTAACCCCTGATTTGTGTTTAAAATATTTTGTGTCAAGTATATGACATTTTGGACTAAGAAATGATGTTTGAGGATGTTTTAGAATCATTGGAATTGATAGAAATTACAAATTTTTGTTTTTATTACTGTCAAACATCCACTAATAGCCACCTCTCCACAACAGTCACTTTTATGGCAGACAATCCAGGCATCGACTGTTGTTTAACTCTCTACAACGGCTACTTTTTTCTGCGCCAAAGGTGGCCATTGTGAAGAGGTTCAACTGTATTTCAGCCTCACATTATAGCTAATTGACAATTGTCTCCTTGTGAAATAGGCTGGCCCTTACAATGTATATAGAACCCTGAGATCCCTGGCCACACTGAGTGATCAATGTTTGCTCTACTGTGCCTGTAAATGGTGCACGAATAGAATGCATTAAATAATGTTATTATTCATTCAAAATATTTCCCCGATTCTGATTGGCTAAAAGCACACGTTTAATTCACCATAACCAGTTACTAATGACCAAATTTGGAAGAATTTTGACTTTAACGAGGAAATGACGTCAAAAATGCAGCGTTTTCGCAGGTTAAGGCACCATTAACCGAGAAGACCTGGGATGAGGTTGAGTTGTTTTGGTTGTGAACTTGAAAAAATGGCAGACATTTCACTCGTTTCAAGAGTAAGAACTAGGCGAAAGAATAGCTAAAAACATGGCAAGAACAGCAAGAAGACAACTCGAAGGGCGACATCTGCTATTTGGAGAATATTTGTGGAGACGGACAAACCTAAACGTACACTATCAAAGATGAACTAAACATCAATGGATCGATGGAGGTAAGCATGTTTTAGCTATGTTTTTAAACTAGGAATTATTTTGAATGAATAATAAAACAGTTATTGAATTCGGCTTTCGAATCATATGAAGAATTATGGAGATCGAGGAGGGTGTTATCCGTTGAGGCCATAGGCCTAGGCGGATAACACCCTCCGAGATCTCCATAATTCTTCATTAGATACTCAGCCTCATTCATTAACTGTTAATTAAGATGATCTTTTCTTCTGTTAATAGCGAGCAGTGGAACAGTGTCCATTAATGCTGACTCCACAGTTCAAATCCTGGCTGAGGAAGCCCATCCTTTAGAAAGATTTGACCCACAGGTACAGTGTATGGTAGTGTACCTTGTCAGCTTTGTTGTGCATCACTATTCATTCTGTGTTTGGCCAGTGATCCAACCACTGTACAGTTTTTGCATGTGATAGTGACTTGACATTATCACCAACCGGTAGCTGGGGCTAGTATCAAAGAGTCACAGAAATCTGATAAGATGTCTTTATTTAGAGGCACAGATAGAGAAGTTGAAGGGAATAGGAAAGAGGGGAGGCCCAAATTGCATATTAGGCAAAGCCAGCATCTCTGCCCTTCCCACATTCCTCAATTTGTTTTGGTTTTCGTCAAAAAGGGAGGCAATAATAGGCCACTTGCCCTAAGAGGTCACGTGACCAATGCTTCCTTTAAACAATGAGTTGAATTCTTACTGATGCCAAAATTGACAGAGCACATAAAAATTATCTTACACCCAAAATTTGAGGGGAAATGCATTAAAGGGAGACATTTTATGGCACTCTGTTTTTTCAACAAAGTAGTATGATTTGTATTGGCTGCCATGTTGGAGGGCATACTCTTGCCCTCCAACATGACGGCCATAACTACTTTTTGCTTGTATCTTGTTAAACGTTTGATAGTTACACCCAGAGGTGCTGTAAATGTTACCACATCATCTTTTCAACATTTTCCTCGAAGTTTAAGTGCAAAATTTGTGTTCAGAAAGAGGCAATTCATTATTTTGAAAATCACAATTTGGTCACATGACCAGCGTCGAACTTACTCATTTTAAGAAAATGGCGCGAGTTTGAAAAAAGAAATCACTATTTTTTTGTTTAAGATATGACCAACTAATCATTTTTCGAAGACAACATCATAACGTGTATAACTTTCATTTTCATAAAAATGATGTCACATGACCTGTTAGTGCAAATGGCCTATAATTGAGGCTGTGCATGTACATACATAAGACTCTGTCTAGGTGTTGTGTTGGATTACTGGTACACTGCAAGACTTTTATTGGCTGTACATATAATTATCAAAATAATATAATCAAGAGAAAAGGAGATATGAATTAATAAGTTATGATTACCAATGCAATAATGCTTTGATATTTTTTCAAATTGTAATATTCAGTATCGAAATGTGTGCAAATCAGTCAGGAGAATTTATTCTGTCCATATTGGGACTTAAAGGGATAACAGTTACATGTACATGTACCATATTTATTTGATTAAGCACCGTGGCATTTATTAAATTTTTAGTGTTTCCAATGGGGCATTCATTCAAGGGCTGCATTTATTTTTCAGTGACTTTTCTTGAATCACTGGCAACAGTTATTGTAAATCATTTGTAAATATTATGTAATTTAAAGGTCCCAATGTCTGGTATGTTGTTGCCATAGAATCGCAATTAAATGTCTGAATGGGGTTAATTACAAAGTTGTACCAAGGTTTTTCTTGTTATCCTGGAGTAAATGCAGCATTCTTCTGATTGGGTGCAGTGTTGATTCAAGGGCTGCGTTTATTAGGAAATTTGTTTCCATCTGTGGAGTTTGATCAAGGGCGGCGTTTAATCGAATAAATATGGCATGCAACTGTCCCAAGGGTGATGGGCTGCTAAGAAAATTACTGCTCTTTATTTTGCAAAGTGAAATTTGTGTACTTGTTTTAAATTAATTTTGACTTTGATCTCTTGTGTAATTAAGAATTAACAACCGTGTGAATAATAATATTTTTATCTGTTTTTTTTTTTTTCAGGCCGTCAGTCAGCAGCTAGAACAGGCCCAACAAAATCTGTCCAGTGCATCTGGAGAAGAAGATAAGGCCAAGGCTCAAATTGCTGTAGAGTGTTTAGAGGCCTTAAATAAAGCTCTTGGACAATAAGTTCACAGCTTGATCTTGTACATTTGTGAGAACTGGGTAAAATTAGTATTGGTCTCTATACTGGACTTAAAGGATGTGTTAATGTAGGAAAATCAACGCGTTTGATACCTGTGACCTTGTCACACTACTGTTCATTGCTGTGGGTTGTTGTTTCTTAAACTTGACAGTTTTAGTGAATTTCTACACGTAAATGATTAATCTTTCTTAGCTATGAGTGCCAGCACCTTTGATTCACTTAGGGTGGCAAACATTTTGAATAAATTAATTTCAATATCACTTAGTTTTTGTGGTCTACTTGTTTTTCCTTCTTCATACTTCTCCAAGTACTGTTTATGGGAATGTACAACTGTAACTATGAGAATCTTAGATTACTTTTTGAGACTTCCCTGTGGTGTTTTCCTGAAAAAAAAGGCAAACCTATTTTAATTACTTCAGTATTTATGTATTTATATTTCTGTCAAAAAGCTAAGATGTCCCGAAAATTTGGTTAAAGCTCACAATTACATTTTCCATAAAACTAACCCACTTAGATTGTAGTACGGACCCTAGTTAAAACTGACAGTGAACGCTTTTCTGTGTCCTGAGTAACAAACTCTCATATATATTGTATCAAATACCACAAGCACCGGCTAGGTGCCGTGCTTGATTACCATGTTGTTGTCACTTGCAAATGCTTCCCAGCTGTCTGCATTGCTCTTGGCTAGCATCATGTGGCTCTTGCAGACACCCTTTGAATCAATGGACGACCAACATATTAAGAACCTACTGAAGGCTTTTCATACAGGATGCGTTTTGATGTGCATTGGTGCTACATGTATGGTATTCGAGTCTGCACAGGTCATGAGATGCATACTTTTCTTCAAGTAAAGGTCTTGGTAGGTATTCTACCCATTTCTAGCTTTATTCTGCTAGTCCATGGTTTTCGTCAACGTTGTTGATATTCTGGATACCAAAAATGTTTTCTGGAGTAGAAAAATAAACTTTTCAAAAACGCAAAAGAATCAAAATTTTCCAAAAGAGTTAGTCCATAGATTTTTGATCAAAAAATAAAAATTATTATGTAAATTATGATCAACTTCTAACCCTGTTACACAATCCTAGAGTTGTGGCATGTGGCTGGCCAAACAAACCAAAGAGTGAAAATATAATAATTCTAGGAATAGATTCTAGAAAACAGGAATTTTTCTGAAAGGGTTAGTCCATAGTTTTGGCCAAAAATTCGCAATTTTTAAATCTTTTTCGTCTTGGAAAAATACGCCAGGAAAATGTGTTTGAGAATATTTTAGAAAGAAGAAACCCTTTCCAAACTGTAAAAATAAGACGTTGAAACAGTCTAAACATTGGGATGTTTCCAAACGGGTTAGTCCATGGTTTTGCCCAAAAATAGGCAATTTTTCCATCTTTTTATTTCAGGCAAAATAGCCCAGGAAAATGTATTTGAGAATTTTCTATAAAGAAAAAAAAACCTTTCATGACTACAAAAACAAGAAGATGAAAACAATTGGCCATTTCTCCATCTTTTAATTTCAGGCAATGAAGGCAACAAAAATGTCTTAAATCTAACCTGAAAAACCGCCTTTCTTGGCTAAAAAAACGAGAAGTTCAAAAAGTCGAAAAATTGAGATTTTTCCATTTCTCAGTTAGCCATTTCTCCATCTTTTTATTTAGGCAATAAAGGCTACCAAAATGTGTTTTACGATATTTTAGAAAAAAAACAAAACAAACAACTTTCTAAGCTACAAAAACAAGAAGTTAAAACAGTCGAAAAACTGAGACTTTTCCAAAGGGGTTAACCAATGGCTTTGCTAAAAAAAATGGCCATTTTTTCAAATTGATTTTTTTAAGCCAATATAGCCCAGAAAAATGTGTTTTACGATATTCTAGAACGAAAAAACGCCTTTCTAGGCAACAAAAAACAATAAGTTTAAAAAGTCAAAACCTTTAGATTTTTCCATTTTTCCTTCTTTTTTTTAGGCAACATAAGCCAGGAAAATGTGTTTTACGATATTCTAAAACGATAAAACGCCTTTCCAGACTATAAGAACAAGAAGCTAAAACAGTAAAAAAATTGACAGTTTTCCAAAGGGGTTAGTTAACCCGTGGTTTTGGTCAAAAATTGGCCATTCTTCCTTTCTCTTTTTTTGTAGGCAACATAGGCTACGAACATGTGTTTTACGATATTCCAAAACGACAAGACGCCTTTCTAGACTATAAAAAAAAGAAGTTCAAAAACTCTAAATTTGAGATTTTTCCAAAGGGGTTAACCCACGCTTTTGGTAAAAAATATCCCCTTTTTCAAAAAATGGCCATTTTTCCATCTTTTTTTTTAAGCGATATAGGCTAGGCAAATGTGTTTTACGGTAGTCTAAAACGATGAAACACCTTTCTAGGCTATAAAAACAAGAAGTTCAGAAAGTTCAGGCGTTAACCCATGCCTTTGGTCAAAAAATGGCCATTTTTCCAACTTTTTGTTTTAGGCAATATAGCCCAGGAAAAAGTGTTTTACGATATTCTAGAACAGAAACACGCTTTTCTACGGAATGAAAACAAGAAGTTCAAAAAGTGGAAAATTTGACATTTGTCCAAAGGGGTTATTAACCCATGGTTTTGGTCCAATAACGGCCATTTTTCCAAGTTTTGTTTTAGGCAATATAGGCCAGGAAAATGTCTTTCACGATATTCTACAAGGAAAAAACGCCTTTCTAGACTATAATAAAAGAAGTTCAAAAAGTCAAAAAATTGATATTTCTCCAAAGGGGTTAACCCATGGTTTTGGTCCAAAAATGGTCATTTCCCCCTTTTTTTTTAGCCAATATAGGCCAGGAAAATGTCTTTAACGATATTCTAGAAAGAAAAAACGCCTTTCTAGGCTGCAAAAACAAGAAGTTCAAAAAGTCAAAAAACTGACATTTTTCCAAAGGGGTTAACCCATGGTTTTCGTCGAAAAATGGCCATTTTTCCAACTTTTTTTGTTAGGCAGTATAGGCCAGAAAAATGTCTTTTAAGATATTATAGAAAGAAAAAACGCCTTTCTAGGCTATAAAAACAAGAAGTTCAAAAATTCGAAAAATTGACATTTTTCCAAAGGGGTTAACCCATGGTTTTGGTCCAAAAATGGCCATTTTTTCCAACTTTTTTTTTGTTAGGCAATATAAGTCTGGAAAATGTCTTTTACGATATTCTAGAACGAAAAAGCGCCTTTAGGAAAGTTCATTTAATATGACAAGGGGGGGGGATGAAGATATTGAAACTCGAAGCTTGAAATTTTAGCAGCCACCCTCGCTAGCGGTTCAATTTTTTAGGAGCCCCCTCCTTGGTAGTCGAAAAAATTTCAGAGCCCCCCCCCCCCCCTCCTCCTTCATTTCTTAACATTTCTTGTTACAGAGTCATCGTTTTTATAGTTCCCGTTAGCAGATTTTGAAATCTTGTTGAATCAATGAGGTTTCATTATAAAAAGTTTGAGCATTTCTAATTTTTGAAATTTTCTAAAGCATTTTTGGGATGAACAAGAGTGTAAAAATTACTGAGACTACATTTGTTATATCTGTAAACCACGTAATATAGCTGAGTTGCACAGGTCATTAAATTGTTGAGTTGAAAACCATCCGATCTGTATGATTATGTCATGTGTTGGTTTTGAAGTATACAAATGTTCGGAGCCCCCCCTCCTAGCGGAACAATTTTTTCAGACCCCCTTCGGGAGTCTAAAAATTTTCGCAGCCCCCCTCAATATCTTCATCCCCCGCCTTATCATATTAAATGAACATTCCCTTATAGGCTATAATAACAAGAAGTTCAAAAAGTCGAAAAATTGACATTTTTCCACAGGGGTTACCCCATGGTTTTGGTCCAAAAATGGCCATTTTTCCACCTTTCTTTTTAGGCAATAAACGAAAGAAAAGTGTCTTTTACGATATTCTAGAAAGAAAAAAAAGCTTTTCTACGCTATAAAAACAAGAAGTTTAAAAAGTCGAAAAATTGACATTATTCCAAAGGGGTTAACCCATGGTTTTGGTCCATAAATGGCCATTTTTCCACCTTTTCTTTTTAGCCAATAAAGAAAAGGAAGGTGTCTTTTACGATATTCTAGAAAGAAAAAAAGCTTTTCTACGCTATAAAAACAAGAAGTTTAAAAAGTCGAAAAATTGACATTTTTCCGAAGGGGTTAACCCATGGTTTTTGTCCAAAAGTGGCCATTTTTACAACTTCTTTTTTTTTAGGCAATATTGGCCAGCAAAATGTCTTTTACGATATTCTAGAAAGAAAAAACGCCTTTCTAGGCTATAAAAACAGCAAGTTCAAAAAGTCGAAAAATTGACATTTTTCCATAGAGGTTAACCCATCGTTTTGGTCCAAAAAAGGCCATTTTTTCCAACTTTTTTTTTGTTGGCAATATAAGCCAGGAAAACGTCTTTTACGATATTGTAGAACGAAAAAACGCCTTTATAGGCTATAAAAACAAGAAGTTCAAAAACTCGAAAAATTCACATTTTCCCAAAGGGGTTAACCCATGGTTTTGCTCCAAAAATGGCCATTTTTTCCAACTTTTTTTTTGTTGGAAATATAAGCCAGGAAAACGTCTTTCACAATATTCTAGAAAGAAAAAACGCCTTTCTAGGCTTTAAAAACAAGAAGTTCAAAAAGTCGATAAATTGACATTTTTCCAAAGGGGTTAACCCATGGTTTTGGTAAAAAAATGGCCATTTTTCCAACTTTTTTTTTTAGGGAATATAGGTCAGCAAAATTGTTTTTACGATATTCTAGAACAAAAAAACACGCCTTTCTAGGCTATAAAAACCGAAAGTTAAAAAANGCCACCCTCGCTAGCGGTTCAATTTTTTAGGAGCCCCCTCCTTGGTAGTCGAAAAAATTTCAGCGCCCCCCCCCCTCCCTCCTCCTTCATTTCTTAACATTTCTTGTTACAGAGTCATCGTTTTTATAGTTCCCGTTAGCAGATTTTGAAATCTTGTTGAATCAATGAGGTTTCATTATAAAAAGTT